TAATAATATATCTAGTTATAAATAAGGACAAACTTTAAACTAGACATAGCAGATGCTGTCAATAGCTCCCCAGTGTCCCCTCGGCTAACCTGCGTTTTCTTGCACTTGTGGTCAACTCGCACGCCCTGACAGATTCCCACCTTAGGCACACCTTGGTTCTCTGCTTTCTGTGCCTGAGGGTCTCCTCCAGTGTAACTAGAGCTTGCTCAGCTGTAAAAGCTAAACCAGAAAGTTTGAGGGAGCTAACCCTCAGTGAGGCAAACCTTCAGTCAGTGGGGATGGGATGGGAGTGGTAGACAAATCCCCTAGACTCCCTGTTCTCTGGTGGGAGAGTCCAGATGTTTTTCTCACAAGGTCTCTCAGAAGGTCTCCAGCAAGACTGAGCCCCTCTTCCTTTTTTTTTTTTTTTTAAAGATTTTATTTATTTATTTGACAGAGAGAGAGAGATCACAAGTAGGCAGAGAGGCAGGCAGAGAGAGAGGAAGAAGCAGGCTCCCCACTGAGCAGAGAGCCTGATGTGGGGCTCGATCCTAGGACCCTGGGATCATGACCCAAGCCGAAGGCAGAGGCTTTAGCCCACTGAGCCACCCAGGTGCCCCCCTCCTTCCTTTTTATTGGCTCTTCTCCCTTCTCTGTTTCATATTCCTAACTTGCAAACATGCCTTCCTGGGTTTACCTTCCAACTACTCTATTTGCCTCTAAGTCTTGATTTTGGGGTCTGCTTTTAAAGGAACCCAAATTAAGATTCTAGGCTAACTGACTATTATAGGAACCATTATATAAGTGGATAATTTTTATAATCCAAAGATTCTAGGCTAACTATTATAGGAACCATTATATAAGTGGATAATTTTTATAATCAACATCACTTTTAATGTTTATATGGGAGTCATTGATTTTATCATATAGTTTTTTAGAGCTGGGAGAGTCAGTGGTAGGATATATATATATGGATAGATATATATATCCATATATACATATGTACATATGTGTGTGTGTGTGTGTGTGTGTATTTCCCTATCATTCATTACGTCTCCCTATGGGAAGTGTATACAACCCTACTCTGTTGAACTGAGGAGTGGGTGTACGGCATGCTTCGGCTAATGAAATGTGTGTGGAACAGACACATATCACTTCCTAACAAAGGCGGGATGATCTAGCTGATGGTTTTCCATATTTCTTTTCCCTCTGCCATAAGGCAGTCAGAGTTCCAGTTGAAGCTGCTCTATCAGCACTGAGTGCAGATATGAAGATGACATTGAGCATAGCTTCAGCTAAACTACAATGAATATATCCAATGAATAAGCAATAGACATTTTTCTTGTAAATCAGCAAGATTTTGGAGAAATATGTTGCTATAACATAGCTTAGGTTAAATTGAAAAATAAAAAATCTTTAAAAATAATTCAGTACAGTGGTTCCTAATCTTGGTTAATCTATGATTTCTAGTGCACATTTTACACTATAGATTTAAACTTATCCTAATTCAGTAGGTTTGGGGCAGAAAGCTAAGGGTGTTTTTGTATTTTAAGATCTCCCCAGATGGTTCTAATGAGCTCGCTGTTTGAAACACAACCACTTGGCTTATTTTATTTTATTTCCATTTTGCTTATTTTAAAGGAGAAGAGAGACAGCTTGAAAGTTGTCTATTCTTTTAACTAATTTGTGAAATATACTCTTGTGATATAGATCAGAATTTGAGTTATTTATAAAATCTTTTCTCCTAAAGAGCAAAAGGGCAAGCTTAATTGTATACCCGAGTAAGGGCAAAATCTGAATTAATATTATCCAAATTAATAAAGTTTAATTGTATGTCATATATAGGCCATCTGGGTTCAAACCTAATCAAAAATTATAAATGCAGAATGTTACTAAGGCCATTAGTAGGCCAGAAAGGCTAAGAGTAGTAGGGTTTTAATAACAGAAAGTAAATTTGTTGCATAGATATGTCCAGAAAAATAAAAGCTTTGTCCTTGCTATTAAGGGATTATGGGTCTACAAGGAGAACTTCTCATGGAGACCAAGAGATCAAGTTAAAGGCATCATAGATAAAATTTTCTAGCATCAGAGGCATCGTAGATGAAATTTTCTATATACCTGGCAACTATATACCGTTCAACTTACCTAGGTAACTGAATATGTTTAAGCTGTAGAAATTACTTATTCAATTCAATTTTCCTTTTTACCTTATATATATTCTGGAGAAGACATTTTAAATAGATGCTACTGGTGTCATAAATTCTCTCAAAGAAGAGATGGTGGAGATAAAATATTGGCCCACATATAATGGTAAGATAAGGCAGAATATAATAATTATATTAAGAAAGGAACACCCTGTAAACCAACTTGGGTTGCTAACTGATCTACTGCTGCAAGGGAACTTTGGGCTTCAGGGACCCTCACATCATCATTCAACTTTGGTTTCATTGTCAAGGATATTGTTAAATGTGTGCCACAGGACTCAGAGCTGCTTGGGCAGCTCTGAAAGGGGAGTTATATTCCCATCCTTACTTCCTCACTACCACTCATCTTAGCTCCTTGCAATCTAGCATTTGAATCTACCTTGCCTCTCAAACTGACCTCTTCAAAATTCAGCAAGGGATCGTATAAATTCTTCATCCCTCCAGATTTAGACACTATTAATAAATCTCATCTTCTAACTTCTTTTTCTTTTAGATTTTACAATACTATGCTATTCACATGTCTATCACGTACTCACCTTGTGCTTTAGGGATGTATTAATAAGGGCTTTCATTTACTGAGCACTTGTTACATGCCAGGGACTGACTATGTATCTATCTATCTATCTATCTATCTATCTATTAGTCATCTATCTACCTATTATCTATTAATCATCTATCTACCTATTATCTATCTATATACAGATAGATATAAATATAAGTGAAATTTTATTTATTTATTTAAAACTTTCAACAATCTACTGAAGTAGCTGATATTATCTCCACTTTCTATATGAGGAAATTGATGTTTAGAGAGGTTCAATTCTTAACCATGGTCATACAAGTAATTATCAGAGGTAAGACTCAAACCTGTGTTGAATTCTAAACGTTTTTCTCTTCACCAACACACCAGGGTCTCAGGACCCCATTTACTCTTTAAAAGTATTAACAATCCCAAAGAGCTTTTGTTTATGTTATGTCTGTGGATATTTATCATAATAAAACTTAAAAAGAAGAGTTAGGAATATTCGTTAATTCATTTAAAAATAATGAATGCACTGTGCATTAACGTGTAAGTACTGTTATGAGAACTATTCCTAAACAAAAACTGTAGCGATACAAGTGGCATTGCTTCCCATTTTTACAACTCTTCTTAGTGCCTGGTTTGATTGAAGATACCTGGATTCTCATTATCTGCTCTGCATTCAATCTTATACTGTATGATGTTTTGGTTGAAGTGTAAGAAGACAGTCCAGCTTCACACAGACATGTAGTTGGGAAAGAGAGGAGTGTTGGAACAGCATTTTCAGATAATTGTGGAGTTCTTCCTTTAATGGTATACAAACATTTAACAGTTTTGTAAAAGTTTATTTGCTATGTGGAGTCTGAAACCATATGAGTGAACTTCTTGTGCTCCTTTTCATTAAATTCATTGGTCTGGGGCGCCTGGGTGGCTCAGTGGGTTAAAGCCTCTGCCTTCAGCTCAGGTCATGATCCCAGGGTCCCGGGATCAAGCCCCACATTGGGCTCTCTGCTCGGTGGGGAGCCTGCTTCCTCCTCTCTCTCTCTCTGCCTGTCTCTCTGCCTACTTGTGATCTCTCTCTCTCTGTGTCAAATAAATAAAATTTAAAAAAAACTTTAAATTCATTGGTCTATTTCGTATTTTGAATGGATCTTTTACTTGTGTGTGAAGCTGTCCAAGGCTTCACTTACAGCACTGTCCTTTCTAACATTCCAAAAAAACAAAACAAATTATGAAGCATGAAACTAAACACTAATTTGCCTGAAAACAGCTAGCAAATTTCTAAAGTAAATTGATGAGAGCTGATGAAAAAAGTACGGACAATTTAGGGAAATTTCTGACTTTTATGCCAATTGAATCAGACTGTGGACATGGAACTGTCTTGATGGTTCTACAAGGCTGATACACACTATTTCCTAGATGCCAATGTATTCACTTTATTTGTGTTATATATAAATAGCTATTTATCTTTTGCCATTAACATCTCATCAACTTTATTGCCATTGATAGTTTTCAAGTGCTTCACGTGAAGGCTATTGAGTTCCAATTTTCTTTTGGCAGCATCTTAAAAATGTAAGTTTGCCCATCTATGGCTGCTTTCCACCAAACCATTCAGCATAGGTGGTATTTTTCTTCTACGGATTCTCTCTTTCACAGAATGGAGACTCCTGCATACTCATTAACATTGTTAAAGGCTATTGAAGATGAACTTTTTCCTACAATGGACTAGATCATTTTGATTTTTTTCAATTTAAGTGCTATATATGTCATGACTAAGTGTAAAGTAGATAAGGGCTGGAACTCACACATTAGTAAATTCACACTGTAGGGAGAAAAATATGACTTGTTTTCATATAAGAAACTTTTCCATTCTCCAATTGCCAAAGAAATTAAGGATATAAATAGTTTTCAGTAAGATATTACATGTGTTGACTAAAATAGAATTATTGATCATGATGAGATGAAAGCATGCTACCATTTCCAAGATTTGGTTGGTTCTTATATGTCTTATTTTTACTCAGGAGGCAAGAGTCTGTCATCTTTATGTATGCTTGGGGCTTGACAATGACAAAAGGAGACTGGTTTTATAACTAACTTGCAAAAATGCATAAAACACAAGCCATATATAGAGTGTTGTTTACCTTTAAAAGCACTATAAGCATTCAACATCCTTTCAAACGTGTATATATGTGAATCAAGTTCCTCTCTTAACTGTGGATTAAACAGATAAATATTCCCCCCCACCCCTGCTTACATCCACAGTTTTACTTTCTGCAGATCAAGTTACCCAGGTCAGCCATAGTCCTGAAGCAGATCATCTGCTTTCTGATGAAAATATCATCAGAAGACCAATAGGAACCAAGTGCTACCTCACAATGCCTACATGATTTCCTCACTTCATCTCATCACATAGACATTTTGTCATCTCAAATCATCACAAGAAGGTGAGTACAGTAAAATATTTTGAGAGAGACCACATTCATATAACTTCTATTACAGTATATTTTAATTGTTCTATTTTATTATTATTTATGGTTGTTTATCTCTTACTGTGCCTTATTTATAAATTAAACTTTATCATAGGTATGCATATATAGGAAAAAAACATAGGATACATTCAGTATTACCCATGGTTTTGGGTATCCACTGGGGGTCACAGAAAGTCCCCCTCAGAAAGGGGGGCTACTGGAGATGTAAAACTCTACTTCTCTGTTTTTAGTAAGGTGTAAATCTGAATTTGTTGATAAAGCCTCTCTTGCTGGCCTCCATGGAATTAATAAATTATGTTGATAGCTGCAACTTCACAATTTCCAGAGAGTTCATAAACCTCTCAGGACCCTTGTTTTTTCTGTAGGTGGTAAACCCAGATGGAACCAAGCAGGGAGATTTACTTGAACTGGGAATATCGATCTCAGCTGGTCCAGGACTTCTCTTACACCTCTGCCCTTTATGATGTTTCCGTGAGCTCTTTGGTGAATGGGATTGCCTATGAGCCCTTGCTTTCATGACTTTCATTGCTTTCCACTGTCATCTTTCCTTCAAGGTTCTTGAGAAGCCTTTAAAGGTGAGACAGAATACAGCCTATTGAAGGGGTAATTCCTTCACCCTTTTTATGCACAGCTAACTTCAGCTTCTTTTTAAAGACTGCTCATATCTCACCTCCTCTAGGAAATCTTTGATCATCATCTGTCCCTTCTTCTGCTGGGCTATGTCCCTCCTGTAGCATCTTTCACCTGTCTCCATCATAGCACAGCCCTTACATTGTGGGGAAACACGTCTTAATGGACTGTCTCTCTAGATACTGACAGAAAATTTTCCTGCGTTACTTTGTCACGGGTGCCTGGTGACATGTCTGGCATCGTCAGTGATGTGATTTAGCGGTGTGAAGGTGGTCCCATAGTGTCAGCTGAGGAGTCTGTTAAAAGTCATGGCTTAGATTTTGTGCTTTCAGAGAGTTCAGTGAGGCAAAGCCAGAGCTGGACTGGAAGGAAATAAGGAAGCTAAACAGTTTGTAGTGAAATAGGGGTAAAAGAGCAGTAGAGCCTAATACTGCCTAAATATTTGTGTAGCAAAGTCTGTGGCGGAAAAATATTAGTTGCTAGGATAGATGAATGAAATTTCATACTTTATGTAAGATTATCCACTGTGGCAATGGGGTTATATTACCTGATACTGTTTTCTTACATCAAATGTTCTATTTTAACTCCATTATATACATTCAAATGATCAAATATGTTCATAGAGAATTAAAAAAAAAATCCCCCTTTTAGACTGCTATCAGTTTTGGAGGGACTGGGGGTAGGGGAGTGGGTTTGTCCATTAAGTCATGGTAGGGAAGAAGTATATCCCATATATCTAAATCTTCGGGCTCCTTGAGAATCTGCTTCCTGAGCTCCTTTGGCGCCCAAGTGAAGAGCTTATTGGCTACATTTATGACACTATAATGAAATCTAAGATTTACTTTTTCTGATTTTATAATACACTGTTTACTTTTTTTTTCTTTTTAAGATGTTACGTATTTATTTATTTGAAAGAGAGAGAGAGAATCTGAAGCAGACTCCACTGAGCACGGAGCCCAGTGCAGGGCTTGATCTCAGGACTGCTAGATCATGACCTGAGCCAAAATCAAGAGTTGGAAGCTCAACTGATTGGGCCAGTTGGTACCTCACACTGTTTGCTTTTAAGGATTGTTAAATAAATTTAAAATTTAAATTATTGATCTCTTGGGAACTAGTACAATAATTGGCACATAGAAAGTATTCCATAAATATTTGTCATTATTTTTCTTAGAGATCCACCTAGAGCAGCCATATGGTAGTTCTTTTTCTCCAATGAATAATGGTAGTTTATTTTCTTCCTACTTACCATTCTCTAAGGCCATTTTAAAACACTGCATTTGGATAAGATTATTTGGAAGATCTACACTTTTGACATCTTTCTTTTGTTCTGGTTGCTTCATGTGAGTTCTTTATTCCTAGAGTAGAGTAGAATGTGAGGAAATCTGTGGATATAGCTAGGATCAAAAAACTTCCAAAGAATAATCTTGTCTACACATTGGCAATGAGGAGGAGCTGATCAAAACCAAATTTAATGGGACAAATTTCAAGAGGTCACTTTATATTTCTTTTCACTTAGTGTAGGCATTTCCATCTCTATCTCATTGCCTCAGGCAAATCCCTTGATCCAATTCATAAATATGGTGTATCTGTGGAGAAAGGTGAGGGTTGAGATCTTAAGCAACACACTATGAAGTTGGGTTATTAAAACTATACACCTCAGACAATGGTTTGACATTTGAAGAGACTCTGATGGAAAGACTGAAAAAGTGGTTGAGATCAATTTAACTATTTTTTGTTTGCTCTGCAGTGAAGAAAATGATGTTCACAGTACTCTGGTAAAAATATTTTGAAGTAAGCAGTCTGTTAGGAGTGTGAATGACACTTAGCACTAAGTAATACAAAAGAAGTCTAAAAAAAAAAAAAAAAACCAACCCAAGAAAAGTCACCCCAATTTAGCCCTAAGGCTTGTAGGCACTGAGGTACAACTATTTTAAGAACAGACATGCACACTGAATTTCTTCTCACAGAACCTCTTGTGAATTAAGCTCTGACATCTCATTTTTAGATCTCATTTAAGCTGGCTTAACACTAGTGAATCAAAGTGCTGACCTAGCTTTGAACGAGTATTCTCGTGTATTACTTAGGGCAGTGCTTTATACCAGATTTTTACACCAACAAAACTGTTTCCATTTGGGTGCCCACAGAAACAGATTCTGAGACAGTTTCTTAATGTGAAATAACTTATTTGAGAAATGTATGAAACACCAGTAAGGAAGTGGAGAAGTAAGACAGGGAAGGGAAGACAGCCAATATAAGATAAGTACGTTATCAAGTCAGTTAACTATTAATGTCGCTGACACTTAAGTCTGGGTAATGGTGGAGGATAGACACCGCAGAGATCTCTCACCTCAGGGATGAGGAATATTTATATCTGTATTGGTCAGCTTGGGCTGACATAACAAAATGCCATAGATTCGGTGATTTAAAAAATGGGAACTTATTTCTTGCAATTCCAAAAGTTAAGAGGTCCAAGATTAAAGTGCAGAATAAATCAGTTCCCCAGTAAGGGTGTGCTTCCTGCCTTGCAGATGGCCACCTTCTCCCTGTGTGAAGACAGTGTGAGCACACAGTGAGAGACAGAGTGTGAGGACAGGGGGGTAGGGGGTAGGAGAGATAGTAAGCGAGCTTTCTGGTGTCTTTTATAAAGTCACTAATCCCATCATGAGGGCCCCACCCACATGAGATTATCTAAATCTAATTACTTTCCAAAGGCCCCTCTCCAAATATCACATTGGTGTTTAAGGATTCAACATATGAATTGGGGAGGGGGGTAAAATTCAGGCATAGTAATATCCACAACTTTCCTATCTCTATACCTATCTTCGTGGAGGCGGAGAAAATTAAGGCCATCCCACCTCAGGTTTAGCTGATGTGGGTAACAGAGGCAGAAGAAAATCATTAAAATTCCTTACCTACTGACAAGCCCTTGAAACAGACAGAGTGGCTCTCCCCTGGGGACTTAACTGCCCTCACCTTGAGATTTTGCTAAGGACAATCCTAGCCTGACCAACCCCCTACCCCAACAGGTCCGACCAGGATACTATAAGTCTACTTTAACAATTCCTTTATCTCTAAACCTCCAAGATAGTGTCGAGAATCATTCCCAAGTATATGGCCCACTGATATACATCTAAAGGGTCTCATGAGAAGATTTTTATTATTGGTAATAAATAACCTTTCTCCCAACAATAGCTAGCCCCTTAAGGTCCTGGAGACCTTGCTTCCAAAAGTCCTTGGAGACTTACATCATCCATAATCCCCTTTGTCCTCACCCACCGCCGAGTCCACCCCTACTCTGCCTTTAAAAACTCTTACTGTAATCTGGTTCGGGGTCCAAGTCCCTACTCTGCTGTGTCGGGTATACTTGGGCCCAAGCTTAAGCTTGTCAAATAAACCCTTGTGTGATTGCATCAGTGCTTGGCTCCTTGGCGGTCTCTCAGACTCGAAAACTCGGACATAACATCTCTATCTTTATCTCTTTCTACTTATCTATATTCTCTCTTCTTCTCTCTCCATGCCCCCTTTCTCTACAGTGCTGTGTATTTAATTCTTCATTCCCCTTAGGCATTGGAGGAGGGCTGCTCCAGAGGTTAATTCCAGGAACTTCTATGTTACTATCCATTCAGGCAGAATGGGCTCTCATTAGATTCAGAGAAAAGCCCTCAGACAATGAGATTCAGAGAAATAGGTGAAAGTTGGCTCATAGACACCAAAGGTGCCAGCATAAATTGTTACCCCCGAGGGACTTACTCTGCATTTACTATAGTAACTGTTTGGTTTCTGGGATGGCATTCCTTAAAGGTGTGAAACTTAATTAAAGTTTTGTATTTTAAGATAAAAATAAATGTAAAATGTACATTTTGTTTCATAATATATTTAAAATTAATTATGGGGGCACCTGGGTGGCTCACTGGGTTAAGCCTCTGCCTTTGGCTCAGGTCATGATCTCAGGGTCCTGGGATCAAGCCCCGCATCGGGCTCTCTGCTCAGCAGGGAGCTTGCTTCCCTCCTCTCCCTCTGCCTGCCTCTCTGCCTACTTGTGATCTCTCTCTCTCCGTCAAATAAATAAGTAAAGTCTTAAAAAAATTAATTATGAGAATGAAATTACATTAAAAATTACTTAACCTTTTCCTCCAACATAAAAATAATTTAAAAGGAAAAGAATGTCTTAGCCTGGCTTCCCTTGAATGTAGAGACTAAGACAAGTCTTGCATGTAAGTAGTTTCTTTAACTGCAGGAGCCAGAGGGATGACCATCAGGAAGTAAAGCCAAAATAAAGATAAGTTATCAAGTTGGCTATTGGTGTGGATTGACTAGGGTTAATC